ATCCCGGATCCCGTTGCCCCTCAGGTCCAGGGAGGTGAGCCCCAGATCCAACGTCGTCTTCTCTCGCAAGAGGTTAGTTAGATCTGGGGATGGAGCTCCTTGCCTCAACGGCCGCATGATCTCTTCTTTTGTCAAACCCATAGCAAGAACCTCGGACATTTTCCTTCCTTACACTGCATAAGAAAGCGAAGTCAATATTTTTGACATATCAGAACATCTGCATTGCTAGAGAAGAAATGACACGATAAAATGGACATAGCCATTGTCAATGATGGGGACCTTGAAGTGAACATGTGACCAGAACTCATCGTGCTCACCTTGAAACAGCGTCACGGACCCTTGAATGCCCTAATACGATGTCAGCGGGCTGCCCTCTCACTCAGAATGCAAGCATCGATGTATGCTGGATGCTCGGCCCACATTGACAAATTCTATCGCAGCCAATTCCCTTAGGATGTTTGGTTTGGGAGGAAGCAATCGGCACAACGACCTTGGTTTTTCAAAGAAAGAAGAAAAAACGTCGCTGGTTAGAACCGAAGTGCGAGTCACGTTCCCGTTTTCAGGCCTCCTACATTTTCTAAGTCGTAATACGAAATATTCAGTTCAGTCTGTCATTTTTTCTTTAAAAATAATATCTGGAGATATCTGGATCTGGCATTTCGGTCACCAGCGGTTACAGCCACAGGAATCACACGAATAACCGCTGGTTAGTGGCCGGCAGCAGTATAGAATTAGATTTCATCGTAACGACTTGCACAAGATGATCTGGACGCGGCGAGTACCCACGGAATTCTGAACTTTCGAAAAAACAAATTCTGGACCGTCGAACCATTCGAAAGACATTAATGTATAATAACCGACCAGTTTATTAGCTTGATCTGAGAAAACAAATTGGGTTATTGGATTGTTTGGTCAAGTCCAAAGACTTGCAACAGAAACAGTACAAGGTAATATTATAATAATAAGAACGATACACAGAGCAGTCTAAAGGTCCCCCTGGGCCAATGATCTTTGTCAAAAACGCCGTCACCCCCTGGTTCTTTATTGAATCGAAACCAAGTGGCAATCGTGACCGGTTTGGATACGCTCACTTGCAGAGTGTTCCGTTGAATCGTGGCCTCAAAACTCAAAGGATAAGGATTAGAAACTTAGCGACACAGATATCAACACGTGGACTGCTATTTACCCCTTACATTAACCCTTATATTATACCCTTCCAAGTACCCCCCCGGACCTTCAAGCAGGGGTACAAACGTCCCGCCGACACCCCTTCGGCCCTCAAACGTCCCGCCGCACCGGAGGATACCCCTTCGGCAAGTAGGGGACCTTCAAGCAGGCCCTAAAATAATAAAATGATAAAAATAATAATAATGTATTTTGTATTTTTTGTATTTTGTACGTACCCTCGAAGTACCGTACTTAAAACCGAGCGCACTGCAACTGAACTATATAATATACTATTAGTATATATATACTAATAGTATATATATTGTCTATATATAGACAAATTGGGTATATATTACCCCCCCCCCCAAAAAAAAAAAAGACTTGCGTTGAGCACTTCCATCAGCAACTTAGCTTAGCACGCAACTGCCTGATTGCTGCTCAACAGAGACAGAAAGCTCTGGTGGATCAGGAACGCACTGAGCGTTCCTTCTCAGTGGAAGACAAGGTACTCTTGAGTACGAAGTATCTTCGTCTGAAGCATGCTGAGACTAATAGAAAGCTGCTGCCCAAATATGTGGGACCTTTTGAAGTCGTGCAGGAGGCGGGACCAGTAGCGTACCGATTAGCAATGAACCCGCAGTGGAGGATCCACCCGGTGTTTCATGTGTCGCTGCTAGAGCCGTACAGAGCTCACGGCCGAGTGCAACCCCCACCGCCTCCAATTGACTCGGAAGTGGAAGGCGATCTGGAATATGAGGTGGAAACGATATTGGATCATCGTTACCGCGGTACGCGTAACCGCAAGGCCTCTTATGTCGTGGTATGATAGGGTTATGGTCCAGAACATAACACCTGGGAACCCGAGGAACCTCAAGAATGCGCCTGAGATTTTGGCGGAATATTGGAGCAGGTGGGCACAACGCCAGGCAGTTGGGAGCTCTGCGTGCGTTGTATATCACCCGAACGCTTGGATTTAGCATTCCCCTTGACTCTGCGAAGCTGGTTGCATCGTGGGGAGTTTCCTGAGATCCTGGATTGGATCTGTGATCTTTCCTGTGAGGATTGATTGAGTTCTGGCTAACTGAAAGGTCAGGGGTCTTGGACTAAATTAACCAAGATAAGGAAGTTTGTCTGACGTGTGCATGCTGTTTTGACGGAAGGATAACGTCTGATTCTGTGTCGTTTAAGCGGCACTAGACGTCTCCGCGAAGCGTGCGTTCCTCTTCCCCAGAGAGGAGGATATAATTTTATGGGGTGTGATGCCAAGGCATTGTGACGATTACAGCTGACCGAGCCCGGTCTAGTTCTCGTCAAAATCTCGCTAACGATCAAGTTAACGAAACGGCAGTGGTTACGTCTTAAACGACGCTCTGCGGGCTGTCCAATCAGTCGATTTAATGTCCCGGATGGATCGGCTCTTATAAAGCCTTTGCCACGGTTCAGGATGATTCTCTAGCGGCTTCGCCGTTCGATGCAGCCAAGCTCACCCCGAGTTCTTCTCGGCTAGCTTGTCTGGTCTTGTCATAGATTGCTTGGACAAGAGATGAATGTACGAGATGTTGCATATTCATGACAGGGTGGAGCTCGCATCTTACTGGTGCATAGGTAGTCACATCATGTATCGTGACCTTGCGGCTCTGTCTCGACTTGTGGTAATCCTTATCGCGACAGCGCAACGTGCTCAACGCTTGTGGATCCAATTTGTCGTCTCTCGACATGGCTTACGGATCGTAGATGAGACGTGATCAATCCATATCAAGGGCTGATGGCATGGGGACGCCTCCTTGATTTGGCTCTTGTTATTTCATCTACATGAAGGAGCAAGTCCTCTAACGGGGGCGAGTCTTGAGACTCTTCGAACCGAACAAGGAGCCTCTTCGTGAGTCCTAACTGATCAGAACTTGGAGAAAAGGCAAGGAAGCACAATTTTTCTGAGAGGCGCTCTTGCTGAAGGAGAACCAAGTCGTACTGAAAAGCTTGGCATGGTTTCCGCACATGCTTAAGCAGACGGGCAGGTGTTCCCGTCCTACCGATCAGCCAGATCGTTACACTGAAGAAGATGCAATATAGTAATTGACTTTTTGGAGGGGAAGAGAATATAACAGATTAGTAGTGCAGAAATTTTCCTTTGGTTTCTAGTTGCCGATATGTATGTATGTAAGGCCATACCTGAAGAGGATGCAATATAAGAATTGAGTTTTTGGAGAAGAGATTAAAACAGATTAGTAGTACAGAGTTTACCCTTTGGTTTCCAGTTGCCGATATATATGTATGTAAGGCCATACCTGAAGAAGATACAACACAGTTCGACTTTTTGCAGAAGAGATTGTAACAAATTAGTAGTATAGAGTTTCTCCTTTGGTTTCCAGTCGCCGAGGCAGTTGCAGCTTGAAAACACCGCACTTCTTGCTCAGTTCGAGAAACTTACGGCATACCGAGCCGAATTTCAGGTTGTCGTCAGGTGAATAAGTATCCCACAGGGCTCGTCTCAAGACCTCTATCAGCAGCTCGTCAGGTAGGTCAAGGATGGATAACTGCAGGAACAGTAAGTCTATTGTTAGCTCTTCTATCAGTGTCTGCTGCACACTATCAGCAACACGAATAAATGACATCAGATGATAGGAGAGGAGTGAATGATACGAAAGAAGAGCAACCATACGTTCTGAGACGGGACACGCTTCTCGTCCATCCTTGCTCAGTTTGTACGCAATCTTGGCGGCACCTGACCTGTTTTCTGCCTTGCGTTTTTGAGAATGGCAGCAGCGTATCTCAAATCTTTTGTGGTTTGGCATGGTCTAGAAGTTCTGCCTTAAAAATGCACACCCATTCGGAAGCTCGATTGACCGTCCGAAACATGCTACACGCCACGTCACTGGGGACACTGGCGTCCGAAAAAACATGATGTATGCAGCTATAAGCCGTGCCCTTCCTCCTTCGGGTTCGGGTTTAGCATTATGGGTCAAGGGTTAAGGGCCAACTCAAACCCAACTCGCACGTGCCCATGCCTTGCTCCAGAACGATGTCGCGTCCAGACCGGTGTAGTGTTTTTCTCCCTGAATGCCAGTACGACATGGATCGTCAGAATGCTATGCTGGAGGTACCTAGCGTCCTCCCCAAAGCACCGAACGCGGTACAAAGACCGGCCGATCTGGCGTCGGCTGCCTCGCAGTTCCCGCCAAAGATGGCGGCTTCCGTGGCACAGGCACCCGCTGGGGGACTGAGAGAGAAAGGTGGCATCACCTTTCTGAGAGGGAACATGGATGATCAGGGAAAGACTGTGCATAAGATCGATCCGAGAGAGATGGATCTAAATCTGTTGGCTTTGGCGCGAACCGAGTACGTAAACATCCTCGGAAATGTGTTGACAGACCCCATCAGAGAGGGGCTCGTTGCGCAGTACGACACGAGCAAGGCTGAGAGTCCAAAACCGGCCGAAGTCGTGAGGACGTATCAAAAGGTGCTGAAAGAGGTGACGCTTTGGAACAACCACATCGTGCAGGCGGAGACGGAGAGGATTCTCGGCGACTCGAAGACCATGTTGCAGAATCTTTTGGCGGCGATCTACATCTCGAACCTGAAGATCATGGCGAGTATCAGGATCTCAAAGGGCGTGTCCTACGTTTCGTTGACGATCCCCTCTTGCGAGTCCTTCATTCATCGCATCTACATCGAATGTGCACGAATACTTTATCAGAATCCTTACATCATGCACTTGCGCGAGCACGAACCAGTAGAATTATTCAAGAGGAGTGGACGCCTGGGGGAGATCGTTTCTATGGCGACCGAGAGGGCCACTCGGGCAATGCTGCCGGTTCGCGAGCTGCTCGAAGAGTATCTGAATCCAGACATCTTTAATGGGGCCGTGATCGGCCTAGATGCGCCACCTGTTGGACCTCGCCCCAGACCTCAAGTATTCCGTCCCGAATACGAAGCACCCCGGTCCCTGCCGCGAGAAGAGGTCTTCGAGCCCCCGCCTCCGCCCTCGCCACCGAGCGAGCGGCCTATGCAGCCGAGCATCGGCATCGTGACCCCGTTGCAGACAGTAGAGGGACAGCCTGTGGAAGAACGCCCCGCATTGCCGTTCCTCAAGAGCAACATGCAAAAGAAGCTGGACGACCTCCCGCCCATGTTGAGAGAGAAGTTGGGTCTCGACGAGAAGGAGGAGCTCAAGACTATTGCGACCACGGCTGGTCGTGGCCAACCGCAGCCTCAGATGATGGTGGAGGCGTACGAGGGCAGGCTTCCCAAGAATTCGTTCGAGGAAGAGAGCGAGGGTTCAGATTCCGAAGAGGACGATCAGAGCGGAGGCGAAGAGTCGGATGACGACGACGAATCAGGAGACGATTGATGCGTCTGATCGATACCAAAAAAAAATAGATAATCATCATAGGTGCTTACATGACGGGTTCTTCGTTCTTGTCTTCCAGACTAGGCGGTTGCATAATCGGTGCCACCGTAGGGGCGGGCGCAGCGTATGTCTGGGTGAGTTACACAGCATCCGGAAGGAAGTTTTTGGAGCGGTTCGACGATCCGAACAAGGTCCTCCTCGGGGCCGCTCTTCTCGGGGGTGTGGCTGCTTATCTGCTGATTCCATCATCGAATGATAATGGGTTGGCTTTCTCCGACTCGAAGCTCGTGGATGCTCCACTCGTCGGACAGGAGGCCGCGCATGCGGACTCTGGGGAGGGAGAAGGAGGAGGCGAAGAGGCACCAGCGTCATCTAGGCCTGCCTCGGGGCCCTACGAAGATCAGGTTCTGGACGAGCCCTTCCTGCCCTAAGGGTCCGGCGCGTTCGGGACGTCATAAATTCTCTCTTTGTTGTTTCGAAAGGAGGTAACCAGCGCGAGGATGGGCAAAGACAAGCGCATCAAGGTGTCGGTCGAGAACCCAGAAGGAGAGACGGTCGTGGAGTCCGAAGTGCTCCCGTCGCCGGATCCGAGCAAGGCCGAAAAGTACAAGAAGAAGGACGTAGAGCACTCGGAGGACGAGGAGTCGGAGGGAGAGGGTGAGGAGCTTGACACCGAAGATGACAGCGATGACGATGACGATTTGGTCGCAGACGTCCTGGCAGACGCTCTGATTTCCCAAGACGGTCACTCCGTTAGAGACTCGCTCCAGATCGTGGCGGGGTCGTTAGACAGACTGGTCGAGATCCTTTCGAGTTCCGTGGAGAAACAAGCAAAGCTGCAAAAGATTCAATGCAAACTATTGCAATCCATCTCTGAAACGTTGGGATCGGGAGCCACCAGCCCAAAGGATGATAAGGAGGATCTGTGCGGTTCCACCAACGCCGTACACATCTCATGAGTCGGATAGCATCAAGAACGATCGAAAAGAGCTCCTTCGTACGGTTATGATTACCGTATGACGAAACTCGTAGAGAAAGATTGAGATTGCACTCAGCTCCTTGCACGTAATTCCTTCGCCGTGGTGCGGAGCGCTTGGAGACTCGGAAGGGCGAAGAGGTCGGTCGATTCGTGGCAAAAGGGTGGCAGGCCTACATCGGGTTTTTTCTCTTTCTTCTCGACTGCCTTCTGTTTCGCTTCGTGGACCTTTTTTTTCTTTCTCTCTCGTTCTCGTTTCCTCTTCTTATGAGCTTCTTCGGCTCTCTCCTTGTATTTCTTTCGCTTCTGCTCGCTCAGAGCTCTCTGCCATTCGACCATTATCACGTTGGATTCTACGTCTGTGACGTCGAAGCCCTTCTTCCTCAATTTGCGTTTCACGTAGTCCATGCATTCACCTACGTCGTACGCGGGGAGTCCTGGCTTCACCAACGGAATCGTGCACAGAGCGTACTTTTGACCGATGTCTGCTCGACGTTTCAGTTGCGATTCGCAGTCAGTGAGGATCTCGGCCAGTACTCTCTTTGTATTTTTTTGTTTCTCTTCTGCAATCTTCAGGACGTCGTTCAGTATCGACTTGGATTTCCTCATAGCTGTGACCAAGCGTGGTCTACCATTGCTCAGGAAATGGTTCGTGGCTCAGGGACGTGCTCAGGAACTCACGCTCGTCTGATTGTCGCTGTTGTGAGTCGCTTTCTTTCGTTTCCTAACGTGGGAAGATGTGTTGTTCGCTGACATCTCCTCCTCTTCCTTTGGTTGCGACTCTTCGCCCGTCTCTTCTTCGATGGTGTGGAGGCTGGCCGCGGGCATACTGGTGGTGCCATTGGGACCCTCTCCATCATCCCCTAGGACATGCATGGTGATGATAGGGCTGCCGAATGCCCCCTGTGGACGCTCCTGGGCGTCGAATTTCAGACCCGACATGAAAGCTCCTACGGGGTCCGCGTCAGGATCGTCCCTCTCTTCTGGGTCCGACTTCCCTTTCAAGGACTCTTGAAGCCTGTCCTATCTCTCCATGACCTCTTGAAACATCATTCTCGATTCCATGTGAAAGTAGTAGACGAGACCTAACAGCAAGAGGACGGGGATGAGTACGGGTAGCAGATTCTGAAGCGGTGAGTTCATGCTCGTTCCTACCGTCGGTCACCAAAATGTTGGAGGGCTTCAGGACGCACTCAAAAACATTTTCTGCATGCAAAGTATACCGTGATGGATCCAGTCCAGTTGCAGACGTTCCGAGCAGAGCAGAATGTCAGACTCGGCGGAAGCATTTTAGGTGCGAAGAAGAACGACACCGGCGAGTTTATTTACATCACCTTAGACGGTAAGAAATGCAAATTGTACTGGAAGATGGTAGACATGAGTACGAACGCGGCCGGCAATAGGGACATCGTCCTCCGGCTGTCTACCACTAGCGGTGGGGTCAGGCAACCCCCGAAGCCTTTGAACGGTTACGTAGTGCGGGCTGCGTACGCGCACGCAGTGCATGCAATCTTGGACGTATGCCAGAACAGATTCGGGCAGATCTCCTTCGCCGATATCGATCCATATTTGGAACAGGTCCTCAATGGTTCGGCGATCGAGGAATTGGATGCGACTGGGTGGAGGCAAAAGTATGCGGGATTGACGTCTACTCGGCTCGGAGCGAGCGGCTCCTTCCTCGGACAAACCGACGCAGGCTTGGCTCAGCTGAACCAGCAATATAGGTTCAATCCCGTCGCCCTACATGATTTCGATCCGGCGAGAAATAGGGGAGGTGGTGGTGGACGCGGCGGGAGTGGCGGGTCTTGGTTGTCTTCGACCAGACCTTCCTGGTGGGACGACGACATAGATGGTCCGTGGCTCGATCACCCCTTCTGGGGAAGAGTGTGGAGGTGGAGGACATGGTGGGGGTTGCCGCCTTTCTGGCGCAGGTCTTGGACGGTGACGTACGGCCCTGGGAGTCGTGCACACTCGGCAGCACTCACTAAAGCGGACAGGAGCCTGAGAGACAAGATCCAAAGAGCTATCGATTCCGAGAAAGCACGGGATCGGGTGGTCGTCCTGGGCAAGTCCGGCACCACCAAGACGGCTCAGGCTCTGAAGGCCGCTTTCCCTGGGGTGCCCATCCACATGAGGAGATGGGGCCCGTCGGCAGACCAGTTCTTGCGAGAGGGCTTGCGTAGATCCAACTACGTCATCACGCACAATCCCGGACGCGCCAGTGGTGCATCTCGGGACAGGTTGCGTGCTTCCAAATCACGGGGTACGAGAGTGACCTCCTCGAGACGCGGGCGCGAATACTTCGATGGTGATCTGGACGAACAATACGATTATCCTCCCTCGGACTCTCTAGAGGAGACATTCGAGGACGCGCTTTACGATGATTATTGATCGTCTAAGAGTTTGCAAGTGCAGTGATACTTTAGTTCGGTAGGGTCCTGCGCACTGGATTGGGTTTGAGGGGCTGATTGAGGTGCAGTGTCGACGTTCTGAGGGTTTTCGGCGGGCGTGCTCGGTGCCGGTTGAGGTGCACTGCTAGGAGCTTGAGCTCGATACGAGGTCGCCTGAAAAACCTCCGTGGGAGTCGGACAGGGGGTCGTTTGAGGTTCTTGACCGGGGGTCGCTTGAGGTGTCTGCTGCGTCGAGATTGGGACGAATCCGCCGTCGCTTTGGGAACCAAAGTTGCCGTCGCACAAAAACTCCTGCTTCGTGGTCCAACCAGCTTTTATGCAGTCCGTTAGTGTCAAGGTGCGGCCACTCTGGTTGTCCTTGATTCTGATCGACAGAGGTCCCTTCAGCGGGCTTCTGCTAACGAAATTTGCACCCCAATCTCTGGGAAGGGTCGTCCAATCTCCGCCGCCGTCCTTGACTTCAAGGCTGTCGTACCTTCCAGGGCCATCCAGATTCATGACGATGATGCTAGCCCAATACTGGTTGCCCGAGATGGAAGCCACCGCGTTGCCCTGCCTGATGCAATCCACCCTCTCGTACTCGATCGGGACGTGACCGACGGACATGGTCGTGACGAGTTTCGTAAACATATCTCCAGCAAAATCCATGTGATGTGCATCCGGCTGACACCAGCGCTCGTTCCCTTGCGTGGGACAGTAATCGGTCATGGTGACGGTCACGCTATCCTGAGTGCATGTAGGGTCATTCGTGCACTTTGCCCTATAGCATTCGCCGCAACCGGCTCCGTCGCGGTATAGCAGAGGGCTACCGGCGAAGAATTCGTTTCCATATGTGACTTCGTTCAGGCCAGCTAGCTTCCTGGATAGATCACCGTACCCGCAGTTGCCAGCCCAGCCACCTGAGGGGTCGCCGGCCGGCGTATAGTATGTGGAATGACCCGCCGTCTGGGCCTCCACTATGGGGCTCAGCATGATGCAGCAGAAAGCGAGCGAGAGGATCGATTTCATCTTTGTGTATACATATGAAGAGAGATTTAAAACCGCCGGATGGGGGCGCGTGTTCTTTCAGTAAGATGTACTTTTGAGAGATCATGGGGCGAGGATTCTGCTTAAGCAGCTGGCTCTTTACGCCCGCTTCCGCTTCTGTCCTACTTGCTGGCTCGGAACTTCACTTTCCCAGTCGTAGCCGTCGTAGAACATGTGCTCGACTGTCACCTCGCGCTCCGGCACGTGGGTGAGGTGGTGACGGAGGCGCTCGATGTATGCGCGGTTGCGATTCTCCCACATGCTCTTGTCTCTGATCACCGGCACGCCTAACTTGTTGTATTGAAAACAGCTGGGAACCTTCCTTCCTCCAGCCGACGTGAAGCCGTCTGGGTTGAATCGCAGCTGGACCTGGGGCCGGTTGCCGGCGTCCTGGAACAGCTCCATGAGCCTTTTGTTCTCGCACGCGGAGTTCCGGTGCTGATCCTCGTCGTTCTCTAAGTGCACGGTATGAGTGTACATGTCGACGAAAACGTCGGGTCTCCTCGCCGAGCAACCTCCTTGGACCCTCTTGTCGAATGTTATGTCCGCGTGCTCGGGGAGAATGTCTGCCGCTTTGATAGCGTCAGCGAAGTGCTGCTCTTTGACCTTGAGATTCCGAGAGACCTTCTCGCCTGGAAAGAGATGCACGAAGCACCGGAGGCAGTGTCCTCTGTAACGCTTTCCGACGTGGGTCCCACACCCGTTGACGCACTTCGGAGACACTACATTCACCATCTCGACAGACTTGCACTTGCCGCAGTGTGTGGCCTTGTCGCCTTCCATTGCGAACGAAGGCTGCCCCCTCCCGCAGGCGCACTTCGGGGATACTACGTTCACCAAATCGACGGATTTGCACTTGCCGCAGTGTGTGGCCTTGCCTCCTTGATGTCCGAAAGAAGGTACCCCTTCCCCACAGGCGCACTTCTTGTGCTTTACATTTACCATGTCGTCGGACTTGCACTTTTTGCAATGAGTAGCTTTGCCGCCTTCGAGTCCGAATGAGGGTGCCCTCCCACAACCACACTTCATACTTCTTACATTCACCATGTGCTCGCCCTTGCACTTGCTGCAATGCGTGGCTCTACTGCCTCGGACACCGAAGGAAGGTGCCCCCCTCCCACACGCACACTTTTGGCTCTTCACGTCTATCATGTTATCGGATCTGCACTTGCTGCAATGGGTCGCTCTGCCACCCTTGAGCCCGTACTGCGGCTGGCTCTTTCCACAGAAGCACTTTGGAGACACCACGTTCTTCATATCAACGGATCTGCACTTGCCGCAGTGAGTAGCCTTGCCACCCTCGATACCGAATGCAGGGTACCCCTCCCCGCAGAAACATTTCCGGTGTGCCACGTCCACCAGATCATCAGACTTGCACTTTTTGCAATGAGTAGCTTTGCCGCCTTCGACCCCGAAAGACGGCCACTTTCCACACGCACATTTCCGGTTCACCAAATCCACCATCTTCTCAGACTTGCATTTGCTGCAATGAGTTGCTTTGCCGCCTTCTATTCCGAAGGAGGGTCGCACTATGCGACAAGGACATGTAGCCTTCGCCATCTGGGTAAACGCGTCGGGATGATCGTACTGAGTCCCGAAGGCTCCCTATATCGAATGCCTCAGGTACATTGGGGCACTTTTTGACATCCACATGAAATTCCGCAGACCCGAAATGGTCATATATCGATCGTTATTCCCATAAGTACATCGGGATCGAACTGAGGAAATATTGGGAAGACCTTGGACCCGAGAATGGCTGTCCATCTTAATATGAAGTAGGAATAAATTGCCAGCGTAGATCACGGCATATCTGTTGCCAGATCGAGTCATGCGTTCGTAACTTCTGTCTGCTCTTCAACAGGGGCAGGTACGGTAGCATCTGATCCTCCCCGAGCAACTGAAAAAACTTGAAGAGGACGTAATTGTAGCTAAGAAAGTTTGACCTCCCCTCCGGCGCGTACTTTTGAAACGGCTCTTGCACCGCCGAGAACATGACTATGATCTTCTCCTCGGTCTCCGGGCTCAATCGTGGTGGCGACACCCCTAGGGACTGGCAGATCGACACTGAATGCTCATAGAACTTGGAGAGATTCAGCTTCTTCAGGTAGCCCCGCACTCTCTGTGGGTTGATCTCGTCGACAGACGTTATGCGCGCCTTTCGGAATTCGGCCTTCACTTTGTCGATCACGTCCTGGGGGATGACCGTGGTCTCTTTGCCCAGGATTTGGTTGAGCCACTCGATGAGATGCACCGCCCTTTTGTAGCTGAAGGAGGGTGTCACGTTGCACGTGATCTCTTGTTCGTAAGTTAGGTTCTCCCTGGAAAATCCCAGGACGGTCTCGGACAAGCCGCACTCGGGGCACACCATGGATCCCTCGTGGGGGATTGATAAGAGCGTGACCTCGCAGTCGGGGCACGTGTGTATATCTTGTTTGTACTCGCCTTTCCTTATGAGTATGTCCGTGAGGGCCGAGTGAGCTGCTGCGTATTGAGGAGACAAGGGATCGGCCGTGGCGACGACGTACTTGAGATTCAGTGTGCCGAGTCCGGAGGTACCCTTGTCCGCAGTCTGTACGGTGACAAAATCTTTGATGTTGCCGTACTTTCTCTGGGGCGGCTTCTTCGATGATTCTTCCTCTTCTTTCTTTCTCTCGTTCTCTTGGAGTTCCTTTACTCTCTTCGTCTCCGTCTCATACTCTCGGAGCAAAGGCGCCGCGTTGAGAAGGTACTGAATCTTATCCGAAGAGAGTTCTCCAGACGCGCCTCTCTGTCCTTCCAGCTGATGTAAGCGGTTCCTGTGCATCGTCTCCAACGTTGAGGCCTGAAAGGTAGCCATGATCCGTTCGATGTTTGAAGAGTTCGACATTGCACGAGTCCCTAAATAGCGTCACACAAAATTCGTTCGAGTGCTCTTTGCTTATTTCGAGACAATGCACAGGGATGAGAGAGAAGAACGTGCTCAGCATAGACATCGGAATCCGATACCTCGCGTACTGCCTGATGGGACCAGAGACGAAGGAGGTCAAAGCGTTTGGAATTCTGGACATAGGGGAGGAGGGCGTCACCCACAACAGGATCGATTCGGGTACCGTCGCGAGGCTGAAGAGAGCGTTCGATGGACTGCTCGAGAAAATCGAAGAACCGAGCATAGTGATTGTAGAGAATCAACCACCTATAGCGAAGCTCATGCGAGTGATCCAAGGCATGACCGAGATGTACTTTGTCTGCAGAGAGGGCGTCGATAGGGTCGTCGTGTTCGACGGACGAAAGAAGATAGTAGGGGCCAGAACGAAGGGGCTCTCCGGCAGAGCGAACTATGCACAGCGTAAGAAGGCAGCCGTGGAAGAGTGTGCAGGATTCCTTCGGTCTACCGCACAGAGCGAGGAGACGCGTCTGATATTCAAAGGTTCCAAGAAAAAGGACGACCTGGCAGACGCTCTGATACAGGCACTCAGATTTATCGACGAGGCACGGAAAAAAAATATCTGTTGTCCAGTATATACGACAGGAAGCTATGGCCAGGACCAAGGGAGCGGGTGCCAAGACCTCGTCCAAGAGCAAGCCCAGGAAGACCGCAACCAAGAGCCGGACCAAGAGAAAGTCGTCGTGGGGAAAGAAGGGCTCGAGGAGCGTGACCGTCTTCACTCCTTTGAAGATGAGCGGGAAATCCGTGGGGGGTTGCGAATTTCCTCAGGGGCCGGCACTGACCCTGGATGATGCGATGGCTCGTGAGTACACAAAGTATGCTCGCCAGATGTATGTGGTGATGGCGAAGTTCCGCAATCTCGATAGGTGTCTCATCTTGAAGCATGGGCCGACTTATACGGGCGCTAATCTGAACCGTTCGGAGGCCGAAGCTCTAGCGGACCTGCGTCTCAAAGCCAAAGATATCCAGCACCAGTACCAGCAGTCTTGCGCGAGAAAGAACTTCCAGTTCAGATGGAATACAAAGACCGACTTCAACCGTCAGGCCCTGGTAGACAAGGATAAAAATGAATTCGCACAGCTCGAGGCCTCGTACGGTGTCGGAGCGATGGACAACAAACTGGCAGGGGTGGGTAGTAAGTTCGACCCAAGTGGCTGGGCCTGTGCTGCTTTCTCTAGAGCGTCGCCTTTTGCTGACATGGCCTACGATGAGGGGTTCGACGGAGACTACGGTGACGACTACGGAGCAGATGAGGGCTTCTACGGTGACGTCTACTGATCAGTCTGTGGCGTAGGGCTTGTTGTCGATGTGAAGCCATTCGTTAGGGGGGAGCGCAGACTCCTTCAACCTCCTCATCCTTTTGCGGAAGCGGTGCATCAAGAGGGCCAACATAGCCGAGAGGAATAACAATGGTATGGTGTTCTCCACGGTCATCAGCTCCCACGTGGTACGTAGCCGGGCGAGCACTCCCTTTGAGAGCTGCCCTGTCAATCGGTGGATGCAAGACAAGGTGGATCCGAGTCCGCTGACGCCTGCCGACACGATCGTTCGCTCCTGAGCATCGACGGGCGCCTCCGAGAGTACGACGTGTCCTGTGGCCTTCGCGCTAGGGGTCACGGAGAACGGATCGTCGGAAACGAGCGTCTTGGTCATTCCGATCTCGTCTGGTCGCGTAGCTGTCAACAGGTTCGAAAATGGGATCCCCTTTGCCGAAAGCTTGGAGGCGCGCTTGAGTGTGTCGCCCATCTTCTCTGCAGTAAGCTGCAGATTATTCACGATGACCTTTTTCCCAGCGTCCGTCCAGGATGCAGAGAAAAAGTTCACGCGCCATCTTACAACATGTCGGCCGACTTTCAGAGGTTGCTCAAGGAGCGAGAAGAGCAGCTCGGTGGACGAGAAGCGTCCCCCAACACGGCTCCGCCCCCACAGAATCCAGTCAATCCTAGCTTCGATCCTCGCGATAGTCTTCAGACACGTTCCAACGGCGCCGCTCCTGCAGAAGGGGGTACTCCTCTGAGCATGCTCTATGACCAGAAAGAGCCACCTGTTGAGATGATGCAAGAAGAAGGCAACCCAGAAGTACAGAGAGAAGTGTACTACCAGAGACCCATATACGAACCCCAACTCGCCCCTCTGGAGCCACCGCCCAGGGACGCTTCGGACGACGCCAACAGGCGTCTCGGCATGACAGTGTTCTTAATCTGCATGACACTCTTTGCACCCCCTTTGCAGGCGAAACTAGCCGAATTTCTCCCGCGGGTCCTGACTTTCGACGAGAGTTGGCAGCAAGTGATCGTACGAGCCCTCATGACGTCCTTTGCATTCTATGCGTTCCGGCGATTCTTGACCAGTCCGAAAACTCAGCTGATGTATTGATCAAGGGATCCAGACGGGCCGCCTCATGATGACCGGCGCTCCTTTGATCGGTGTGTGCCTGATCGTGCTGCCGCAATAACGCCCCGGGTTCGCCGGGCTGAAAGCTTGATAGTTATACAGTTTGGCTTCTAGGGCTAGTTCTAACAAGCGCTTAAAGTTCTTCTTAAACTCTGCATCGTGGTCCCAACCATTGCTCGCCATATGTGCCAGTTCATGCGTGAGAACAAAGGTGACAGTGTCTTCGTGCTGTTCTCTCTTATCTTCGGGGATGCACAAGGTCATCTCCGCTCCCTTATCTCTTGTGTAAGCTGCATAACCGACGGAAGGGGGTATCGCTCGTATTCGGGTGTTGTGCCTTTTGTAACGTGCGATCAATCGTTTGACGACCGGATCCTCTCGGATGCTAGGATCGGCATTGTTTGCTAGCCAGCGGATGAACCGACGGAGTCTCCTGTTTGCAAACACGATCACGCTGTGCTCCTCGTTGATCTTTGAGAACCGTCTATCAGCAGTCGTATTCCTGATCCGGAGCATGAGCAGTATTACTAAGAGAGACAGGAATAATTTCTCCATCGCCCCATCAAGGTCCATCTTCTACACTGCAATCATCGTACAAAAAAAAGCACGTCGCGAGGCGGTCCAATTTATTCTTTGGCGATTGTAGTCAGGAGGAGCTATGGCTGCCGCCATCAACACAACTCTCCAGAATACTGCTTAGCCCCTGACTCCGATACCTTTGGGTCCGATAGTCGAGAATACGACCCAAGCGCCACAAATAGCGACCGCAACGCCCAGTCCCGTGATAATCACGCAGATCCCTACGCCGAGGGTGACCGAAACCACCCCGCTTCCGACGCAGCCTCTTCCTGGTGCTACCACTCCACTACCGACGCAGTCTCTTCCTGGTGTTACCACTCCACTACCGACGCAACCTCTTCCAAGTGCGGCCACACCGCTGCCGACGCAACCCGTTCCCGGTGCGACAACTCCACTGCCCACGCAGCGCCCTCCGATCACTCCTGCTCCCACGCAACCTCTTCCCGGTGCAACGACTCCGCTTCCGATACAACGCCCCCTCGTCACCCCCGCTCCGACGCAGCAACCTCTCATAACTCAAGCTCCAGCTGCTACGCCGACACTCTTGCCGAACGCTCCCACTAGGCCTCCTCTTGCGACGGATCCGAGCCCCATAACGCTTCCACCCGCACCCGGCTTTACTCCCAGTCCATCGATCAATCCGACGAACATCAGCACGCTCTCCGGCAACAGCAGCTCTACGCACTCGTCGGCACTTATTCTCGCACTATGTGGTACTTTTGGTGGCTTTGTTCTCCTGCTGTTACAGCTCTTCTTCGCGAGACGCTGTTGGTTGCGGCGTGTCAGGAGGCGAGGTCCGCCCGAACTTCCAATGACCGAACTGACATTTGAGACCTTGACTAAGACTCGCCTGAGTGACGAACCTCAGGTCCGGAGATTTGAAAAGACTCGTTTCAACTACGAGGAGCTGGCGAGAGCGACCGACGACTTTTCGGACGAGCGGCTCCTCGGGCTGGGTGGATTCGGCAAGGTCTACAAAGGAGAACTGCCGGATGGGCGAACCGTGGCCATAAAGTGGTCCACGGTCGAAGGCCCTGCCGCCGTCGGCGAGCGCGAGTTTCAATCGGAGTTGGAGGTCATCTCGCGGGTGCATCACAAACATCTCGTCTCCTTTCTGGGTTACGCCCTCGAAGGGAACAAACGGCTGTTGGTTTTGCAATACATGAGCAACGGTACGCTTCAATCACTCATTCAGTCACCCAGATCCCTCACCTGGCCGGCGAGGCTCAAGGCAGCAATAGGTGCCGCGAAAGGACTCACATATCTACATGAGGATTGTCAGCCCAGCATCATTCATCGAGACATTAAATCTAGCAACATCCTGATGGACTCGAACATGGATGCACGCGTGGCCGATTTCGGCATCTCGAAGCTGAAGGAGGAGTCGACACTCGATACCCATATCAGCACGAGGGTCATGGGAACTTTCGGATACCTCGATCTAGCCTACGCAAGTACCGGTAGGTTGACGAAGGAATCTGACGTCTACGGTTTCGGGGTGATGTTGTTGGAACTCGTTTCGGGTCGCAAGCCGGTGGACATGACCAGAGATCCAGGAGAAGAGAGCTTAGTGGAGTGGGCGCGTCCTATAATCGAAGACAGACTATACTTCCGGCTCATAGACCCTTTCTTACGTGACGAGGGTTACGAACGAGCAGAGATAGTACGCATGATCAAGACCGCTGGCATGTGCATCAACACTGTCGCCCACATGAGGCCCGGCATGTCTCAGGTAGTGCGTTTCTTGGAAGGAAATGGCCGCCCCGAAAGTCCCAGACGTAGGTTTGGGAGCACAGACTTTGAACAGACTAACACGGTCGTAGAGCCCGAAGAATTCAGCTCGCCGAGATGAGTAACCATCCGAGATCGATCGCATAGGCTCAGAGACCCTGAAACCCTAAATTTCGAGGCCTCTTATTTCGAACTACGAACCCTAAAACCAACCACGTGATTGAGAAACGACTTTGGACAGTCAAAACCCTAAAAAACGACTGTAGTGTGGTACAGTTTCGGACGGGGCGTAAAAGTGACGCGCAGTATACCGAGTGTTGCCGCGACAAGCGAACGACGACATTTTCGGATGGCATTAGTCGAGACTGCCACTCATCATCCGAAAGTACCATCCGAAAACGACACTTACAGGAAAGATGGTCTCGTCCAAAATGCAGCCACTGGTAGCATACATCTTTCCTCCTTGGAGACAACGTGCAAAGCAAAGTATCGCCCACTTTGCTGAATTCAGCCATGCGCTGGTCGAAGCAAGAAGACCTCTCTCTGTTCAGTATGGGTACCTCCTTGTTGAAAATTGATGGAGGTATCGACTGGAAGAAAGTGTCGAGGAACATCCGCCACTCTCTGCCAGCAAAAAAACGAGTCACGAGCAATGCTTGCAAAGCCAGATGGAGTGTCCTCTTCCTGGAGAAGAGGCCGTGGACCTTTGAAGATGATGTGATTCTCGCTCAGTTTTTCAGACACGTCGGGCACCATTGGGATTCCTGCGCGCGAGGTTTAGGTCGGACCACCAGTGGTGTGCTGGAGAGGTGGGACTGGCTCACACACAATGAGATGGTGGACTTGAGAGGTGAGTAGACCAGTCTATTTCTGTCGTCGTTGACCTACTTCTGAAGTAGCTCATTGTAACATCGCAACACAGTATACCTGGGTTGGGATGTCGCACTTACCCAGATTCCTCGCCCTAATGCAGGCTATCACAAGCGTGAGGAGCTATTCAACGAAGATTTCATCGCGCACAAGAAGAGGAAGAGAGAACTGCACGCTTCACCGAGCTCTTCGGCTCGGTCAGAGCTCAGCTTCGATGAGGATGTAGACAGCGATCTCTGGAAGTTGCACGAATTTGTCGACACCTCGAGCATCAGCCTAAAGGATTGGGAAGTGGAGGAAGAGATTCTCTCTCAAGAAATACTGAGTGTGCCTAGAACAAAGTCAGAAGTCGAGCTACTCTGTGATGAGTCTTGGAATGACATTGAGGATTTTTTCTATGACTAAGAGTGCGGATTTCCTGAGGAATTAAGTTTGTTTTCAGTATGCCAATGGCCACCGAGGTCCAGACGATCATCGAAGCAGCTCCTCTGCTCGCTTTAGATAGCACATTGCCATGTCAGGAGAAAGCCTCTCACTGTGACAGGGTGGCTGAGGCCAACTTGAGCCTGTGTTTGAAACGGATTCCCGTCACGATGCGCGTGGATGGTGTCCCGGGTGGACTCCGTAGGGACACCCGTATGCACGATTGGAGAGTGTATATGACGCTGGATAACGAAGAGGATTCTCTCGAAGAAAGATTGCAGAAAATAGATGAACTGTTGCTCATCGAGGATAGAAGAGAGGCCAGGTCCTTCCTGTACAATCAGCTAGCATGTCTATATCGCAAGCTTGCGAGCGTGCCCACACACCCTGGTGACGCATGTCCCTTTATGAGCCTGCCGGAAGAGTTATGCTTAAAGATAGCATCCTATCTCACGGATTCGAAAGACCGGGCGAATTTTGCCTTATGTAACACCGTCACGAGGGATGCAGAGAGGCATTCCAAAAGGTGCATTCGAATCTCAGCGAATCCCGACAAGAAGAAACTCAGGCGACTACTCGTAGCTAGCCAGAGTGCAGAGAGGCTCGTGTCGGATGGCCCAATAAAATCATCTCTGTTGCCCACAATCCTCAAGGATGGTACGGACATGCTGACGGCTTTTAGTGAATGCCCGATCGAGGTCTCGAGCTGGAAACACGTCCGGATGCTCTTCCGACGAGCCGTATCGGTGTCTCTGATCGTCGACGCGTCTTGTATGACAGAGGGGCATCTGTCGAGATACATAAAGTCCGACCGGTTCTCGACCATCAAGAGTCTACGGCTTCGACAGGTCGGTCCCTCGGAAGAAATCATCTCTTCAAAAGTCTTTTCTCATTTGTTGGATTCTCTCCCCGCATTGGAGGATCTTCGCGTGTTAGACATGCGGCTCACTCGGCGTCATTTGCTAGCTCTCTCCAAGTGTCCAGCACTGACCACTTTAACGGTGGTACATTCGACTACTTCCGAGGGTGAGGCGGAGCCTCCCGAGAGACTTCCGGATTTTGCACTGCAGGAATTGGAGATCTGCAATAGTCGGGAAAGAGCGGTACTGCCCACAACCCTACAGGAGATTGTTTCTGCTTCGAGAAAGACGCTCCAGCGACTCATCTTCGACCAATCCCACTTTTACGACACCAGCACCCGGCACACGATGGTCGCACATGCACTGGTAGACCTGGAAATGAATCGATGGAGCGATCTGTGGTACCTGCGTTTCGACGAGAGACTCTCGAAGTTGAAGCACCTCGTCATCAGGAGCGACTGTCAAATATCCATGGAGTTACCACACGCATTCGACGAGCTAGAGACTCTGGTCATTGGTAGCAACACCTCGGCCAGGCTAATCGACCTGTGCGGTTGCGTCGCATATATATCTATGTGTAGGATCTCCAAATTCCCTAAACTCAGAGTGATAGAGACGCGCTTGGACATGCAGACTGCATCATCCCACGCACTCTCTCAGTTCGCCAGGCAGCTGGGTAAAGACATCGAGCTGAGGATCTTCTAGATCGCTTGTGTCTCCAAGAATCGATTCCAAGCATCGGCGCTCCTCTCGCCCTGGTATACGCTGGTCTTTCCCGTGGCCAAGTCCCGGAGAACGAAACTCGGAAATCCTCGCAGGCCGAGAGAATTCGATTCGCTGCGGTCTATGCTCGCATCTACCTTGCGCAATGCGACGTCGCCGCGATAGGACTGCTCGAAGCGAGACCATTCGGGAAAGGCCCTCTTGCAGAAGCCACAAGTCGGAAGATAGAAGTAGGTGAAGACGTATCTCGGAGCTTCGCCGAAAGCCTCATATCTCTCAGAGGTGTGTGGAGTGGAAAACCAACCGTTTGTGTAAGCATATAGGCCTATAGCCGCACCACCCAACAAAAAGTACACGTGACCGAGTCCGTCCATTTGTATACACTTGTTACAGAAATTTAATCAGCTCATTCAGGTCAGCCAGCCACAGCGTCTTCTCATCGTTGCTACGCAGGTCAGCGATCTCTCTCTGCACGTCTTCCAAGGATGCCTCTACTTCCCTCAGCCTCTCGTTCGTCAGCATGGTCAGCCGCATGCCCATCAGGTCCTTGGCCTGATCGGCAGACGGCGTCGGTTCCACGGTCTCCACAATGTCTCGGAGCACGTCGCTCTGTTCCCGCCTCGCTATGATCAACCTCCCGTGCACCACCGCTCTCACGAACACACGACGCTGCTGCAGGTTCTTCAGTCGCTCCTCGGCCTCAGCGAGGAGGTGCTCCTTGCGCCTCTTGTAGAGCTCTAGTCGAGCGCCGTAGTACTCCTCCAACATGTCGTCGACCGTCTCGTACTTGCGGATGATTCCCCTAGTATCAAACGCGCATATGTTCTTGTCGCTGAAAGATCGAGAGAGGTCCAAGAGCTTGTGCGGGTCTTCGGATCCCAGCAGAGCCTCCAGGTCTGCCTCGCTCTCAAACGTCAGTTCAAAGTGCACTGTGTCCTCCGTGGAGAGGTTGAAGACGTCCCTCAAGTTCTTCACCTTGCCAGACTCCAGAAACTCCTTGTAATCGTCCGTCCAATATCCCACAGGCAGTTCGTCGACCACCAGGACTCGGGGTGTCTTTCGCCGGAAGGTGCCTTTCACGGCGTACATTCCTGGGCCCTTCTCTTCCACCGAGCCCTTGAACGAGTTCCAATACGGGGGAAGAGAGGAGGGGGGTCCCCCTCTCAGCATGGCCTTGAGGTTTGCGACGACCGCCGCGGGCTCGCGAGGCAGGATCCTGGTGGAGAAGCCATAGCCAACTCCGTTGCAGCCCGAGACCAGGGCCATCGGAATGACCGGAGCGTAGTACTCGACCTCCACCTTCTCTCCCTCCTCTTCGAGCCTCCTCAAGAGCGACGCGTCCCTCGCGTCGAAGACGTGCTTCATGATCGGCGTCAGCCTGGTGTAGATGTACCTGGCGCTCGCCGCATCCTGCCCGCCTTGCAGGCGCGTCCCGAACTGCCCCATCGGTTCGAGGATGTTGAGGTTGGTGGATCCCACGAAATCTTGCGCCATCTTCACGATCGCGCTCGCCAACGAGGTCTCGCCTACGAAAGATGTTATTGCGTTTGGAGGCGTGAATTTCTTTCTATATGCACCGTAGAGCCACTACGATGATAAGTGGGGAGCTCCTACACGATTGTGGTCTCAACCAGGAAGAACGATTTGCGGCAATTCGTGAATATTTCGATGGTATCTTTCGCAACAGAGTGGGTGCCGACTGGCAGCTGTTGAGATCTATCGATACTTTATACGAAGAGGAGCAGGACGATGAGTGCAGAAAAGCCTCTTTAGATAAGAAATTCGAGCTCGTAAGAGGCAAGCGAGACGACTTCTTCAGAACCTTTCTTAAATATCTAGAATACGACAAGATAATGATGAAGAAAACACAGCAATCTTTGGAGGACGTGAAAGAATTTCTTAACCGTAAAACTATCGAAACGAACGAATAATGCAGTAGCTTTACTGCGACCTCTGTCAGAGAAAACATGGAAGCCACGCGGCACAACCTCATAGAGACGATACGAGAACTGGATGCTGAGATACTGAGGATGCTCGAGGTGTGGGGCTTAGACGCTGTGAAATTGCACGACAAACCCCACGGTCCTTTGTCGGATCGACAATATCACCGTGCCGGTAGCTCGTCTTCAGAGCGACCTGCGCCGCCAGTTGCGCCACCTTGATCTCTTTCGTAAAACTCTGTTCGCCTGCCTGGAGGAGCGTGAAGAGGATCTTGCGCTGGGACGGCTTCAGACCGTCGAACACGCTGGGGATGTGGCGCTTGATCGCGGCCAGCCCGAAGAGAGCCAGAGGCCCGTAGACAAAGTCTGTCAGCTTCACATCCGGGCCGGCGGGTTCGGAGGGAGCGTTGCAGGTGGCGTCGACCATCCACTGCTGCCGCTCCGCCGTCATCTTGTTGGAGAACGCCAGCCTCATGCTGCTCTGAGCCTCAGGGTCTGCCACGAAACGGCTGGTCTTCATGGTCTGGAAGATGACCTTCGCCTCGCTGGATGTGTGCGTGCCGAGACCCTTGTAATACTTCACAGTCCAACCCGATCGCCCTTCTCGTGCCCTCCATGTTTCGAATTGCTCCTCCGTGTAGAACGAGATCGCCTCGCGTACCCGGCCTCTCGGGAACGCCTTGATCACGGGAGTGTCCAGAGTCCAGACGAGTCCCAGCGTCAGGAGCTCAGGCCAGAACGTGTTGATGAAGTGGATGATGAGCCCCCCTGCGAGTGGGCGCGAGCTTCTGCACAATCTTGAAATTCGGGCGATCCAGACAGAATAAAAGCAACGTACACTTTAGAACTCGAGGGATGCCTCACTACGAGACTTGCTATAAATGCAGACTCAAATATAATAGGAAAACCGGGAAATGGCCTGAGGATGATCGTTTCAAGGCCATATACAGAAAAGAGATCAGGGACGGTGACGAGAATGCTGCCGAGCTCCGAGCGCGCCTTGCCAAGTTCTGGTATCTGAGCGGTGGTGGTATGACGAAGTACAAGGCGTGCAAACGGTGTCATAAGCATGACCCCAACATCGCTGAGATCATGGACCACGTTCCCGACGGCTGGATGGTGCCGAGTAAGGGAGAAATGATCTTGAAGGATTTAGAAAAGCCGTGTGTCGTTATGTGAGGCTGTGCATCCAGAGCAAAGTGGAAGTAACTCACTTATGTGAATCCCGTCCACGTCGGCGTCCGATGCGATCAGCACCCTCCCGTATCTGAGCTGATTCAGGTCCGTGTACTTGAAGAAGTGCTTCAGGCCGAGGATCTGCTTCAGGTGTCCGATCTCCTTGTTGTCAGCTAGCTTCTGTGCGGACGCGTCCGTCACGTTCAGGAGCTTGCCCTGCAGAGAGACGTTTTACCAGCCATCAGAGCTGCCCAATCGCCTCGCGGCATGCGCGCATGGAGGTGACACCCGAAGAGACTCACCCGTAGCGGAAAGGACCCCTAGTACTGTCTTTCTTTGAGGTCCAGCCCCCCTACGCCGGCGGTCACGAAGGTCTTGGCGGAGTCTCCCTCGGTCAGGACGAGTGTGCAGCGCCCTGAGTCCTTGGTCCCCGCCCTCGGGGCATCGTCCAGCTTGGGAATCTTCAACCTCTGGCACTTGGACCCGTTGGTGGCGACGAGAAGGCGCTGGTCCTTGGCTTTGGACGCGGCGAGCGCAATCTCCTTGAGCTTCAGCCGGTCGATTGCCTTTCGGACGTCCTTTTCCGGCATCTCGCAGCGGCTCCCAAACTTGTACACCGGCAGGTTGCATGTATCCTGCAGAAATAAAATCTCTATTTGGAAATATACTGGAAAATGGATCCCATGTACATTCTGCTCATCCTCTCGTGGATCGGGGTGGCGTTGCTCATCATTGTGACGATTCGAGTCTATGAATCTTCATATCGAACTCGTCCCAGTATATTGTCCGCGCGCGTATGGCGTATCTGCTATCTGCTTTGCTCGATATCGTATACTGAGTCGCG